ACAATACTTACTCGTCGCTATGCTGCTGCAGTTTTTGAACACGCGGGCACTAGGGGGCTCCTAAGACTAGGTTGGGAAGAATGGAGGCAAAGTAATTAGTAGTAAAGCAAAGTAATACGGTTTTGTTTTGTTAATATCTTTTTTAATAATACACCATTTTTAGGCTCTTTTTTTGGGTGGGGGGAGGGGATCGCTTCGAACCTAACCAAACCTCGAGGCATCCAGGGCCCCACTTGAGCCAATCCCTCATAAATCGCACATAAATGTGGTTCGACATATCGTCGAATTCGAACAAAATATTCTTTCTCGAAAATTCACATGTACAATAATATATTACTATGACGTTTGTTATTCTCGCGCGTGTGTGTGCGTTCTACGATTACACACCTTAAAGGCAATGCATTTTATTACATTATACGCACACATACGCATCTCACGAACCACAACAAGTCGTATAATGTTGTGTAGGTATACTAGAAGGATTCATTCGGCTTGATGCAGCTTTCTATTGCGGTAAAAACTTTGAAAAAGTCGAGAAGTGGTCAATACGTTTAATGAGAATTAATTAGTTGATTTTTTTTGCATATTTTTGTTTTCATGTTTATTTCAATTTTTTTTTCGGGCTTTACAGATAACTTGCACATCGTTCGTCGGCACGTAAATTAAATATCATAACTTATTGTGACAGTCGTCACGTTTTCATCGACGATGTCAACTGTCATTTGCCAAGCTGATAAATTCATAAAGTTTAGATAGGCGGGTTAGGTAAAGTTAGGTACCTGTGTAATATAATACTTCCATACTACACAGTTTCATGGGCATCAATTTTATAATCATGTCAAAGTGCTTAAAGTTTCGAAAAACTGTCTACAGAAGGGTACTTATAAGATTGTGCTCCGATCCTGAAAATTATAAACACTTATAACTTGTTAATTACTAGTCGAAATTCGTTTTTCACGTATCGAAATACTCCAAAATAGTATTCTATTATTCAATTAAAAACGTACATATTATGCTGTATTCAAATGATCGAAAAAACTTACAACGATCACACATTCAAAATTGTATGCGATATTTATTTTTTTTTTTGAAAAAGTTTTTTTGCAACGACGATGAGTGGATATACATTCTATATAATATATATATATATATATATATATATATGTAGCATATAATTAGTAGTACATATATATATATACAGTAGAACCTCGATTATCCGAACCTCCGTTATACGAACCCTCTATTATCCGAACTATAATTAGCGTATCCGAACGTTCTGTTATCCGAACATGAAAATTCGTATCCGGCCGGTCGGCCGGTTTATCGAATTTATCATAACTATCGTTTTTGCCTTTTTGGATTATTATTAGTACAGGTTATGTATTTTACGTTAATTATGATGACGCTGTTGATTGGTTAGCAACTGATGTAAATGATCTAGGATATCAAATATTAGATAGCGATGAAATCATTTCTTCGTTGCAAAATGAAGAAAGTGACGACAGCAGTAGTGATGAAAGTATGAGTACGCCAAAAGGACCAACATCTGCTGATGCATTTGCTGCATTTGAAACTGGTCTTGAGTGGTTTGAAAAACAGGCCGAATGTTGTCCAGCACAATTACTTCTCCTTAAACGTTTGCGAGACTTGGCTGCAGAAAAGCGCGTTGCAGCTCATCGCCAAATTAAAATTGATAATTTTGTCAAAAAAATATAATACATACATATGTAAATAAAATAAATGTAATGTACCTATTTCTTATAATGTATGATAATGTTTTTGATAATGTAATTTATGTATGTAATTCTAATAAAATATTAATAACAATAATAAATATTTAATTATAAAAATAGTAAATAGTTAATACATACGTAATTCTAAATTTTTTTTTTAAATTTCCAATATCCGAACTTTTGCGTATCCGAACTAGGTGCGGTCCCAATTAGTTCGGATAATCGAGGTTCTACTGTATATATGAAACTTCAAGAACGCAATTCAGTCGCAGACAAATAAAAATTATAGTTATTGAAAATTCGAGTTATAGAAAAAATGTTGCGTACAATATTATATTTGAAATGCAGGAGGCAGGGGCCAAGGCATTCCATCGAGTTATGGAAAATTCGTCTTATGGACGTTCTAGTTATCGAGGTTCCAATTCTGTATATGCTCAGACACCTATATCGGTTATAAAAATAAATTGGTCTACTCCTCACCAAACCAAATCTTTCATATATGGCACTGATCGATCTCCCTGCGGACATTTTATGAAGTGAAAAGAATTTCTAAAACGATGAAGTATGATATTTCTATCGGAGCTTTAAACGCGTCTTTGCATATTGTAACGTTCGCCAAAATTCTATTTCATTACCTTAATAATTGCTGGTTTAAGGTAGTCAACCACATCTGGCTATATCAAATAACAGTTTAAAATGCGATCGACAACAGTACGAATGTCGATAACCTTTAAAATGACCAACATAATTTTAAATTATTATAAATAATTATGTTTATTTAAATCACACGTTGTGTTGGATATCTAAGTTGAAAATGTCACTGGACGCGTTGTCATATCACAGAACATATAACATATTATTTTAGTTGTTGTGCAACTCAATGCCATAATAATATAATACGATTGTAAATTCATAACAGCTAACATCATAATAATAAAATTAATCGTACAATTAAACGTGAAAATACTAAATAATATTATGTACGCGTTGCACGAAACATATTTTTATTAAAATATCAGTGAAAAGAATAGAGACTTGACTTTACAGATATTTTGTTTTTCGAAACATATCAAAACAGTCACGAAAAACGTAAAAATTCTGACTTGCGAATACTGTAGAAATCGTTTTATTTGATTCGTTGATTTAATTTTTCCAATTTTTTAAGACACCTCGACTTTTTGGATTAATGATATTAATTCGAAACGCCTCAACAATTTTTTCAAATTATTATTTTAGGGATTTTCACGATTTTTGCCATTAACTAGTACCAATTTTCAAGCTTTCATTAATTATCAAGTGCATTTGTTACACTTATTGTAATTGTATACAATTATAACTTCAAATACCCAAGGCCGGTACATCCGGTCGGGTGGGCTGATTGCGCGACCCGAATCGATCGCTTAAGTATTATATATCTACCCATATATTAATATTATTGTTGTTTTGCTTTCAACACGCTATAATTGACATTGCGATAATTTTTTTAATTTTTTTTCATTTTAGTAGACTAATTTAATTTCGTGCTAACGTATAGATTAAAATTTAATGTTCATAATTAAATTAATTAAGACCGTTATTGTATAATATATGAGAACCGTTTGGGTCATTTAATTACGTTCACTAAAAACCTGTGCCTATATACATAAGTACACAAAAACAAATGAGATAATTATACAACGTTCGTCGTGTTAAAAATAGGAAAAATAATTACATTCGATTATCGACTTTAATGAGTGTGTTATAAAAAAAAAAAAATTAAATTGCGATAATAATAAATATTATGTACGAATACTATAATAAGTCTATAACACACGCAAATATTTTAAACGTAAAAATGTATACTCGATGAAAAACTACCGGTATTTAATCGTAGCAGTTTATTAAACAATGAGCACGAAAAGTCATTATGTTGGAAATTGAATTATTGTCTTTTATAATTAATAATTATTATCTCGCCGCGTAGGTACTATATTATATAATAATACTATGATGCAATAATTCTGGTGGTTCGAAAATACGATGGCCTAATGATAATATTATGTTATAAATTATTTAACCGACAAAACAAGACGTATTTTCGAGTCACCATAGATTCTTCAACTACTCAAAGAGACATGTATATTAGTTTAATTGACATGCACCTTTCGCGTGTATCATATTTCAAATATTTAATACAAATCTTTGAAATGTATTGTATAGGTATACTTCAGAAACGACAATCGTCTCATCAGTCGAGGCATATTGTAAAAAAATAAATTTAAAAAAGAAAGGGTTTTCGATTTTTGAACCTCTGCGACGGGCGAGGAAAACCAATCGACGACAATAATAATACGACTTGTAGAATCACACAATTATAATATTATGTATGTCACATATCATACGCATTGCTAATTCCCACATCGCAACGCAAAGTGCATTCGTTTTTGGCGAGTCAGGACAATGCGTTCAAAGTATAATTGTTTCATGTGAATGATATAATAATACTGTTAACAGTAAATACATTTATTTTTTATTATTTCAAACCATGTATTATACTAGCTAAATATATATATATATATTTTTTAAAGTAATAAAAAAATAATTCAACTTGATTTTATATGCGTTATGATTGTAAGTTTCCATTTAATTATTGACTCAATCGAGTTAGAAAACAATTAGTATAACTATTAACTTTATAACTTTAAGCTTTTAAAAATGTTTCCAATCAACTCAGCTCGACTCAACTAAAAACGATCATTAACGCGCCCAGGCTTGTAATCAAACCAGGGCCGTACAACGCTATACTATACTTATAATATACTATTATAATAATGTACATGTGCCTACCTACTTACTATACTCGTATTATATTACGATCGACTGCCACTGAAAACGACGATAATAGTTATGATATTACGATGCGACGAAGACGTGCACTCAAACTGTACACCGATAGCGATGTGCGAGCATAAAAAACAATGTTATTTTCTTCTTATACCGTGGTAACACAGTATTTCAGTGACTGCACCGGTAGAAACAGTGAGACTGCCCACAAGGCACAATAATGTTGGCGATCGTCCGCCAACAGTCCGGTTCGCGATATTGTGCATGTGCAATGTTCGTGTGCAGTGTTCGTGTGCAGTGCGCTGCATAATATTGTGCATAATGCGTGTGACGATGCGGTGTGGTGTCGCCGAGTGCAGAACAAAAGTCAAAATATACAGTTAATATTATAATATAATGATATCATGGGTGTAATAAGGCATAAATAGAAATACAATTAGTATATCTAAGAAAACACTCATCATTTATTGTGAATAATTTTGAAAATATTTTACAATCGCATATTGAATAATGTAGTAAATGCTATGAAACATCTATTATATAATAATTATTATAACATACAATAGGTATAAAGACTGCGATCGTCGTAAAAATCATTACCAACGGCGATATAATTAATACTTATAATAGCAAAAAAAAAAAAAAATTATAAGTTTGGAGACAAATTACAATACAGTTACACAGAAATAAAAATGAACAGAATTTATAATTACGAAAGTTTAAGTATATATATTAAAACATATATTAATGGGAGTTACAATATTGCATACAATTAATAGTTTAAGTACAGTATATTATGCGACAACGTAGGAAGTCATCGTTTAAAAGTGAGTGTTTTCGTTATTATAAGTACTTGAGCGGTAGAAAAAATAAAATTGCTCAGACGATGATTAATAAGTAAAATGTTCTTTTGTACATACAATATTATAAAAATAAGAGCTTAAAATCTGACAGAGATAATGAAAAGTGGCTGGTTTACAATCGATAAAAAAAATGTAGGTTATGTTCGAAAAAAAAAAAGAAAAATGTCCGAATGGCTACAATACGAAACAAGATAAAAACGAGACAATTATTGAACGAAACTCTCTCTCAAAACAATATCGTCGATTTCTTTTCATTATTTATTCTTAAAAATCGTCAAGTATATTGTATAAAAAACGAGAGCGAATGTAATGTGAATTCGAAAAATATATGATCGTAATTATTGACGTGTAAATGACATGACAATATTAATTATATTAACGTATTGTTTTTGAACAATAATGAACACAAATAAAAGGTCGACGAAAACGAGCCACGTTATTCTGTCGTAAAACGTTATTAGAAATTAAATCAAAATGAAATAATGAGTATTACTCATACATAATAATATAATAAAATAAAATAGTTAAAAAAATGAGACGCAATAATGCGCTGCGTGGGCGGGTGCCGGAAAGGGCGTCAAGATCATATAGGGATGATGACGCTGACCGACCGATCCGTATAGTATATAGTACCTACTTAAACCCGCCACAGGATCCCTCAGGATCAGGATCAAAGTGTAGGGCATTTTCTCCCGGCACCCTTCGCGTCTGTTTAAAAATAAAATGGAATAACTAAACCTAGGCACCGTAATACTGGGAGATAACTCGGGACATCGTACATAATACCTACTATGTAGTTAACTTGTAACTTTATTGGGTTGAAGAAATTGCGAACCAAACCGTCTGAGGTAATACTGATTTCGCGTTACCACTAATAAATCGATTTATAGTTGGGTCAGCGATCACATCCGACAAAAAAAATAACTGTTGTAGTGTAAATTGAGCTAGTGAAAGGTTATTTTAAGGTTATTATATTAAAGGTTGTTATCGTCTACGTTATATTTGAAAAAATAATAGTTTTAAAATAATATTTATAAGTGAATTGGCTGGATCGACTCCTGAGCGTATCCTATACAGTATACAGGATCGATCTATGAAGGATAATATTTATTTTTTATTAGAAAGGTGCGTGTATATATATTATATTATATTTTAAATTAATTTCACAAATGTCAACATCATAATTATACTATGATAACTATGATAAATAGCGGTTTGCGGAAGCTATCGAATTCAACCAAACTCGACTTGATATTTACGCAGCTCAGTTTCAAAGTTCTGAAGTTCAACCGTGCGCGATGTAATACGTACGCCTTCTACAATCAAAAAGTTTTATTGATTTGGAATATTTAAAAAACGATGAAAACATGTCCCGAGTACCCGAACCAGGGTTACGGTAAAGTCAATAATCAATGCCTAATATTAATAATACAAATAATAGTAATAGCGACCTAACCTTTTCGGTCGTCCAATTAACTATAACGACGTATGCAATTAATTTTGTAGAAATATGAGAAAAAAAAATATCTGTCATCAGTCTTATCCAAAGAACACGCAATTAACAGTAATAATAATAATAATATACCTATCTACCGACGCGTAATAATATTGTATAATATTATAACAACTTAAATACCGAAGAAATGACATAAAATAATAATAATAACAATGCATCGTGTTCGTCGTCATTTTCGGTACGACGTAATTTATATAATATTAATACAGTGCAAAATAATAACTTGACAGTATGGGTAGGTACCTTCTCCTTTGCGCGGGTGTGCTTTGAACCGATGGTCGAGCGCGCGCCTCAACGGCGGACCACCCTCACCGGCGCCACGTTGTCGGACACGGCGGGTATGGGGGTGAAAACGTAAGTGGCGTCTCCGGTCGAGTCGTTGTACATTGCACCGGGGTTGGCGTGGCCGCGGCGCGAGCGGTGGCCGGGGTTGGGCGGCGGTAGCAACGGCGCGGTGCTACACGACGCGTTGCGGTTGACTGCGGCGGCCGCGGCTTCGGGGTGGGACGAGGACGGCCTGCTGAATCCGCCCCGGCAAGCGCACGGCTGTCCCGGGTTGCTGCACACACTGCAACAGCGCGTCGCAACGACAACATTAATAACGATAAAAACATCTGTATATAATGATACATTATTGTGTTATGATGGCAATAATTGTGTACGATAATTATACGGACAGGTGAAGCGAATGTGCCAGCTAATTGCAAATTACATTCATAACGGTCGGGGAAACGGAAATCATAGAATAAATCAGCGGCGGCACAGCCACGAAATCGGATTTGTTTAAAAGTAACTCGTCGTTTATTAGGTTTGATATATGTCTGCAGTCGGTTAAGTTGAAATCGACTTGACTTCGGCCATTTAACTCGTTCAGGCTCTTCGTGTGACATATATATATTATATATATATGTGTGTGTGTGTGTGTGTGTGTGTGTGTGTGTGTGTGCGTGTGATTATCACCTATATGATATTATAATATCATGTGTATAGGTACTCGGACTACTCACCCTTTGTAGTTTTTGAACACGTCAGTATTGCGGATGATGTTTCTCAACACGAACATCATCAACAGGGACAGGCCGAGCACGCCCAACAGGGCGATGGCGCAGATCAAACCAATCACCGAATTGTTGACGTCGCTGTCATTGTTGACGGCGTGGATGTTGTAGTGGTTGCTGTGGTTGTTCACCCCCTCGACCGGAGAGAATAACTTAGTAGTAAAATTCTTCTTCAGGACTGGGGGTGGTGGCAGAAAATCCGGCACGCCACTGTGACGGGGGCCCCACTGGTCCGATAAGGACGCTTTTTCCTCCTGGGACAACTGCAGTGGCGTCTTGGCGGTGGCGACGGCGGCTGCGACCTCGGCAGCGATGTCGTCGTCAAAGTCCGAGATGTTCTCCTGCTCGTCCACCGTCTGCTTTAGGACCGGTACGGCTGCACACGACAAAACATTAATTCCATATTATTATTATTATATTATGCGTAGGCAGTCTATTATATTTGCACTTAAGCATGAGATTGACGACACCGATGACGAAAACGACGACTCGGCGGCCGCATAAACGAAAATCTTATAATAAATTCAAATCAATTATGATATTGCGCGGTGGCGTGGCGAACTCGAATAATATTGTTTTCCGACAAGACTGTAGTCCACAGAAAACCCGATAAGGGCAGTTAACTGTCATATCAATTGTTACTTCCTCCGGCTGTCTTAATTATATGATAACTCCTAATTTATTAAAAGCCAACCACACAGCCCCCCGAAAAACTCAAAGCTTCTAGCCCCTCCTTGTTCGCCAAGCCACTGCGCATACGTTGATAAGACCACGGTCGCAGGGTATAAGTATAAGGTCGAGTGTCCGCGGACTAGAGTAGTACCTATTATAATTATATACCTATCGATTATTTTTAAGTGTTATCATCTATCAAATATCATAATAAAATAAGTGATAACAACCGGCATTATCATTCGGCCTGCCCTAGGATGCCAGGGTGGTCCGTCAACACGGTCATTTTCGAGCGCTACTAGTCAAACTTTCAGTCCTATTTCGTTGTTATCATTAAATTTTGCTATCAGAATATACAGGGAAACCGGTGAGTTGTAAAAATATATAAAATGTTTTATATTTATTTTTTTACACGTCGCAGTTATACTCGCCGCCAACGCCTGCTCGATTGAGTTGGTAATTATTATTATTTTTTAAATATTTTCAGCGTACGAACGCATCAGTAATCGTTGCATAATTTTTGATAACAGACGAGGTTTGACTAGTTGCGCTAGTTAAACTCCGGCATAAAATTAGTCTCCAGCTACTCAGTAGGTACTACCTTGCAGTACGCGGACACCAGCACACTGCTGCAGGTCTCTGACCTTACATTATGTACCTATTTCCTAAGACCGCGGTCGTGGTATATACTATTATGTGATACACAAACGATAAAGTGATCGGTTCGTCATCGGTACATCGGCTAGATGTGTGCTCTGACGAGATGTACCTAGGTATGTTTTCTGTGTCTGTATTTGGTTTTTTTTTCTAACAACCAATGGACTTCAACGGATGAGTGTATATATAATCGTCTGCGTTAGCTGATTTTGAAACTTTTTATTATTTTTTACTTGATATTCGATTTTTGGTTTAAATTGAAACTCTCATTATTAAGACAAGTGCATAGTACATGATAAAATCACGAAATGATTTGAATTCGCTCAAAAACACTCAGCTGCAGACATCGTGGTAAATAAGTTTACCACTTGTGAATTTATTAGGTATAATACTCCTCTATTCTATCGATTGAGTAAAAAAAGTGGTGACAACTTATAGTATTATTATGTATTGAAAAATGTGTTGTCGTCCATTCAATTGTCAGATAGGTAACCATATATGTGTAGTGTATGTGTAAGTGCCTGTGTCATGTGTATACAACTATATTATACATATATATATATATGTGTATACAGATTACAGAAGAAATCGTTTATAATGACAACGTCTGTAGTGACAACATTTGTTGTTTTTAATATAATATGTAAGACATCTCGTTTTCTAATAACTCTTTTTAAAATTTGATTACTATGACAAACATTATGACCTGTTTTTCGTTGAACTTGAACGTCATTATAAAAGGTTTCTGCTGTATATACAACTGTCTTACTGACTAAATGTTATACTCAGAAGAAATATAATTATATAAGTACAATACATTTGTAATAAAAAAGTACAAGACAAATTGATGGTCGTAACCACGTTTTTTTTTATTGACATTTAAAAAAATTATTGATGAAGTTGCGTTTACAATCACAACAGTTAATTAAGAAAGGAGTTCATAAAAAAAAAAAAACATATGACAAATCATAGAAAAATTAAAAAAAAAAAGATTTTTATAAAATGTATTTATTTAGAGGTTAAAAAAAAATTATTTTAAGTAGTATAATATTATTAATAATCAAACACATTATATTATTGTTATATATTATGTACAGCACGTCAGAGCAACAACAAATATAAAGTGTTATTAAATTGTAAATATTATACACTTAATGACAACCACGCTGGTGAGAGACAGCGTGTTATTTTACATACCCTTTGGCTGGTCGGAACGTTTCATAACTACGTGTCCCACATGGCTGACGGTCTCGTCCACTACGTGTCCCACATGGCTGACGGTCTCGTTCACTTCGTGTTCCACATGGCCGACGGTGTCGTCGTGGGTAATCTCCTGTTTGTCTGGTACGGCCACGGGTAATGTTGCTGGCACCGCGGCAGGGATGGCAGGAGAGGTGGCTTCAATGAATGAGGCACCTTCGGAGCTGTTGTCCGATTGCAAGGCGGACGGGGCTTTTGGTTCGGATAAAGCATTAATGCCGAAATATGCATCCCACAAGGTTGAACTTGCTGTGTTTAGTTTCTTAGTGTTGGCGAAGAATTCTACGTTTTTGATCATTGGTTTGGAGTTGTATAAATCTGAGTTGCTGACCGATGAGTTGATCGATGAGTTGACCGATGAGAAGACAGTGGGGGTCCAAGGCACCCCCACTGTAGAATTTTGCCCGCCATCATGAATGGCGTTGGATTCTACAGTGTTCTTCAATTCAGCGACTAATACGGCCTGGGCAGATTTCACGGATCCCTCTGCTGGTCCCGATTGGTTTCCGTTGCATCTTTCTGTTTGGCAACAGTGGAATGCATGGACGCCATCGTTCATAGCAGAGGGAGCAGCTCCGTTAGTAGGAACTTGAATGATGGGGAATTCGGAGGATTCGGCTTCCATCGATTTCAGGATTTCATCGCAAGATTGTTTTCTGTATTTATGTTTGCCAGAAACGAGAGCAGTCGGAGATGCACGATCGGAAACGCGCCACAAACAGACAAACAAAAACACATGCCAATCAGTATTATGCACACCATAATTTTTATAAGAATAATAGTATATTATACACGATGATATAATTTTTCATAGTTGCAGAAAGTGCATGACGGGCAACACAATTGCATAATCTATCTAATTATTGACTAAATAGGACATAAATGGTATAAGTATAATAGGTTTCTATAATACTAGCATGCACATGAGTTCAGAATAAGTTAGTTGTAGTAATGCGTATAATATCTAAATAATTGAATTGTTTTAAATAAATTTAAAAAATGAAACTATAGCAATAATTTAAAAGTAAAATATAAAATAATATTATTTAGTTTTAGTTTTTGCTATGTCTTTTGGGGCGAGGGAGGATATAGATAACCGTTTCGCCAAATATCCAAGTAGAAAAAATAGTTTATGAAATGTTTTTATTGATAATAAATTGATATATTAAATACTAATTCCTTTTAATTTTTGTTATAGACTGTTTTAACTAATATTGATGTACCTATTTGTTATATTTTAATAAAATTGAAAATAATTGAATAGAAAGTACTGAACTTTTTAAGTACTCTGTTTGCCATCATACCTAGCTGTTGGGTGTACAAATTCTGAACAAGTGTGGCGTTGGTTATGAATGATACGTATACATATGTACCTATATCATAAAGACGAATTATGAATGACAACTTGAAAATTTAATTTTTGAAAACAAATGTGTGCCGTGGGATACAAAAGTGGTCTCTGATTTGAAAAATAACAGTCGAAATCGTCATTGCCACCTTTTTAAGGAATAATATTAGTCATGAGTAAACTTGTGCAGCAGAAGGACTCGTTTAACGAAAAAACCCTGTTCGTAGAACCAAACGCAGGATTCGTAATTAACGCGATATCTATATAAGTTACACGTTGTATAATAATAGTATTGTCGATGTGTGAAGGTATATCATGCGACGATACTAAGGCAGAACTACAATACTTAGGTACAAGGCTGTGGTATATAATGATGTGCAGTGTGCAGTAATCGCAGTAGATTATCATATGGCTATCGGATAAATACATCTCAAACAATAAACGTCATATGACTATGATAAAGGTAATACTATATAACTAAAACGCAGCTGTGTAACAAAAGAAAAGAAAATCCAAAAAAAAAAAAACACCTATGAAAAAACGACTACGAATACACAATATATACCTAATACCTACACTACAACAACACAATACATAATATACAAACAATTAACGAATAGCATTAGGTATTGGTGTATATTGTATACTCGTACTATGAAGAATTATAATTTTAACTATATACATTAGATCTAAACTACTACTATAATAATATCAACTTTACTGTATAACATAATTATTATATTCATTACAATATAGTATAACTAAAGTGCGATATGAAAATATTTCCAAAACAAAACAACGGTCGGAGGTATAGGTACACGTCGCCCGTACTAAATAAACACATATGTGTACGCAGTGACTGTATAAAATCGTGCGACGCGTTTTACCCAGACTACCCCTCTTACATAGCACTGCTAAGAAATAATATAAGCGTGTGTAGAATGTGCTACTCGAATTTAAGTTTAATGACCAATGTGATGTAGGTGTCATCGTGATAAATTGATAATGATACAGTGTATTATTATGCAATGCAACGCTTTCGAACATGTGATCGCGCACGAGAAGGCAGCCGTGGAAGATCCAGTTAATTAACGTATTAAGAGAAGGGAGAGAAGGGGTGAGAAAGTGTGGATGTGTTGTGTAGCCTCATCACCACCCATTGACGCCTGCACCTATATTTATATACATTGTGAGGGTGTACACGTATTTAAGAAACACGTTTTAGTTATTCCGATGAAAGACATCAAAGTACATATGAATCACGAGGAAATCTATACGATCAAATTAAAGAAAACTGTTTGTTGATATATATATATATAGTGAAGATGAGGGGGGGACCGACACCCTGTCATGATTTTCTTCTCCTGGAACCACCACGGCAGATGTAAAAACGTGTATAATATACATATTATGCAGATGCCTATACATTATTATTTAATACTTTATTATAAACTCACGCGAAGTTTAGCTGGTCCAAACATCCAAATGATCCCCTGATGACTGATGCATGTTCGGTGGTTGCAGCAGCCGGGGATTGTTCAAATTCGGGGATGATTGGAGAAACAGCTGATCCGTTAGCGGTGTTGTTCGATTTGGTTGGGGCCGGGGTCACGATTTCCTCTTCGATTCCAGGAATGATTGGTTGAACTTCAGAATAACAGCCAAGCCGGGTGGAGCAAGTTCCAACTCCCCCGGCGGCCACTGAACACTCGGGCAGGTTGCAGTAACAGCTGATCATTGGCGCCTGTGTTGGTACTGGTGCTGCCGGCTTGACGGTCGTAGTATTAACAGCTGGTTTGATGGTTGCAATCGTATCTGCCGGTTTCGAGGTTGTCAGATTATCTGCTGGTTTCGCGGTTGTCATGGATTCATCTATACCGATTAATAACTCTGCGCACAAGACATCGTCATCGTTAATATATAGGAATGTTGTTCATAGGTATATTATTGTATTGTTTTATAACCACGTTTTTGATTAGCGGTACCGAAAACTTGCCGTTATATTACAGCAATATTACATATATTATTATCATTATGTAGAAGTCCCGAACCAGAATAATATTGTGATAACAACGAGTAAACAATGGCTGATAAAGAACTCAAGTGTCGTGGGTGGCAAAATGATACAATATTTAGTTAGGTAGGTGTACAATAATATGGGAAACAGTCGGAAAACGTAATAATTCATTACTGCTTACCCTCGCCCCCCTCCGATGTTAAAATGGAATGATAATCAACAACAATAATAAATAGTAATAATAAAAATAAAAACGATGATAAATATTAATTAGATTATATAAGCGAGAAGAACGGAGCCGGCTGCACGTTTGGTGCGCACGAGCCACAGTCGATAAACGGCAACAACCTGTTGGGTCGAGTCGTTGTTTTTGTTTACAAAGAGTTATTATTATTATTCCTACTACTACTACTACTACTACTACTACTACTGCTACTACTACTACTGGTGTTGTTGTTGTTTGGCGCACATGGTCACCGACGCCGACTCGAGTGGGCGCGAAGTGGGTGAAAGAGGATGACGAGTGCACGGGATAAATAATCGTCTAACAGCCCAGTCAAGCGCGCGCACACGTCGTTTGTTATTGTATGCTAATCGATGTATTTGATTATACATATTGTTATTATTACTACTACGTGGGAAACGAAAATACAACTGTTGCTGCTAAAAATAGAACAACGTTGACGGAGAGAAATCAATGGCGGAAAATAATTAATATTAATATTTTAATATAATACGAATCATAGGTATAGGATGTATGGGTATCATTTTTCCTGACTATATTATACCATTTGACCTATTGTTGTTGCATTTGTGTTCGAAAATATACAAAGGTATTAATTATTAGTTCAGCGATCTTTTTTTATGAATTTCACGAAACTGCCTTACTGATAAATTGCATTAAAGGTACCTCATATACGTTTTGAAAATATACGAAAATGATGTTTCATTTATAAATATTATTACGGGACTCGATATTTGTAGGGGGAGACACAAGAGCTCAAACCCAATGAAAACCACCCAAATATTTAATCCCCTAATATTTTTACAGTTTTAAACGATTATATGGAATTGCGTTTGTATAAAATATGCCTACATGAATAGTTTGATAAAAATTTAAAAATCACACAATTAGAAACATAATGTAGAATATTATTAACTGAAATGTATATCTATTATGCATCTATTATTGTTTATTGTATCAATTACTACCTATTATAAGAAATAATTAGGATACAATAGAGAAAACAATTATATTTAACACAAATATCAACGAAAATGGGAAATATTATACGAAATATTTATGATAATAGCGAGAACACTGAACAATAATATTTAAGACATTGATAGAACATGGGCACATATAATTATGATATAGGTAACTATAAATCGATTATTTTCCTGAACAAAAATACAGTAATAGAATAGTAATGCATATAGGTTTTCAAATTCAAAATGTCGAAGCAAAATTTGTTGAAGTAAATTTTTAACATGAATTTCTAACGCAAAGAAAATCAGCAGAAATATAAATAATAGAACATAATACTTTAATTGAATAGAAATTACGTTTTGTGGAACAAAATGGACTAACAAAAATAAACAGGCCCACAAGGATTATTTAAATGTAATCTACGACGAGCATGCTGATTATAATGAATAAATAATGATATTTAATAATCAAATATTAAACTCTTAAGTATATTACTACCCCATCGTTTAAAATAATAACTCAAAATATGAAGAAAAGAGAATAATATACTAATCATAATTGTCTACATATTTATAAATCACTAAACAATAACAATAATTATAAAACACAAATATTCGTCCATTTAATATTATATTAATTTAACAACTGCAGTATAGTATAAGCAATATAAATCATGATACCGCAAGTATTTAAATAGATCGTCATAAACTGAATTGGAAAATTCGTATAAAGCACGACGAAAGTACAAAGACTTTTACCAAATTAATACATTATTATACGGACGAATAAAAACAATTTCCTAATAAAATATTGTACCTAATTATATTTTGCCGAATGGTAGAAATATTCAAATTTATTAAGACATTATTGCGTTGCTATGAGTTTAAATTAAATACGATTTTATAATTGTTGTAAAAAAGAATTATGAAAACTTTGACATGATACTAAATATATTGATATTATGATACAATCAGGGAGACATGAATATTTTCTACCGTATGACTAAAACATAAAAATATTGTAAATAATAAAAAATATATTACCACTATGAGCCGTTGTGGTCGTGTAGGTCGGAAGACTGATCAAGGCGGCGGCGGCGGTCGCGACGACCATCGCATGCACGGCGCTTCGAAAAATCATCCCGGGAGATGAAGAACCTGTTCGTCGAGAAGAGCAGTCGCTGAAGAGCGAAACGGAACGGACAAAAAGGAACGCGATCGAGACAAGTCCGGGAGAGGACAAGTATCGAGAAGAGGAAACGATGCGGGAATGGATGCCGAATGAGCTCGGACGGGCCCTTATATAGGCCGACTCGGCCGCCGGTCCGGCGGCGCCGGCTCGCGCACAGCGCCGCAGCGGCGGCGGCGGCAGCAAATCGCGTGCCGCCGCCCATCGACGCCACGGCCCGGGAGGATGCGCCGCCGCCGCCGGCGCAGTTGGCGGGTGGGTGTGGTGTACGGCGACGAAACAAAACGCGTAGCCGCCGCTTCCCCGACCCACCACCCAGTCCAACCGCCAGACTCCCACCGACACGACGCCGCCCGGACGCCACTGGCGGCGGCGGCGGCGACGGGAGGCTGCGTTTTTCTAGGTTTTTTTTTTCCAATCCATCGTAGTCTATTTGTTTTTCGATTCTCCGTCACCGTCGAAGCAGTCTCGTAATATTAAAAAAATATTTTTTCTCAGATACGTCTTATAATAATATGCTTCATAATATTTTATAAGTGTGAGTTGCTCACTGCAAAAAGATTTTTAAAATAATTACATAAATATTATTAGCTGTAATGTAGGTAGTTAACAAATAATAAATTCGATTCGCACGCCAATTTAATGTCAATAGCTATACCTATATGAAAATAAACATTGACTTAACTCGTTAAAAAAAAAAATGATATACTTTTCAAAATAATTATTACGTGAATAGTGGATCACTCGTCTTAAAGAATATTTATTGTGACTATAATATGATACCCATAACGTATATCCATACAATTTATTATTTTACGAAGAAAATTGTGGTAGGTACATATTACATTTTATAAATTTAAAATCGGCAATAATATTAATAATATAACGTATAAAACCATTAAATCCAACAATTTCAAAAACGTTTTTATTTTAATATTAAATGGATTAATATTTAAAATATACATAATGTATATTAAATTAATATAAGTTATTTCTTAGGTCAATTAAACTAGTTATAAATTCATACGTTAATTATAGAACATTAAGTTACTTTAGTCAAGATAAATAAAGTTAAAATATTTTAACTAGTTAATTTACACCTAAATTTAAAATAGATGTGAGGTCTTATTTCCACCGTTTCAATAATTTTTAGATTTTTGACGTACTCGAAATTTATCAAAGCTCACAATTAATATTACATTACGATGACTATACTGAAATTTTTAAATACTTTTAAAGTTAAAATTCTTGAGCTGCAAATAACATATTTTAACCTTCACTTTAAGAATGTATTTATGTCTAATATTCACGGGTGCAGATGTGATCCATTTATAATGTAAGACACTGATTATTTCATAAACTATAAACTTTTTTAAAAATATTTTTTTTTTAGATAATTTTTCTGAGTCGTTAAGAAATAACAATGTTTAAGAAAATATTTTCTACTTTTTTTAGTCATAATAATTTTTTTTACTTCGTGGTTCATACTAATATAATTTTGGACGATTAGTTTATATGTTAGTAGGTATATATGTACATTGTACGTGTCCGAAATTTTATTTTTATTTATCGAAATACTTTATATAATATTCTAATTCAGAATAGAAAATTAAAAATGTATTTGAATAAAAAGTGAAAAATTAATATTATAGAAAATAGTGAAAATATTGTTTCCTTACTACTTAAAGTTATGTAAAAAAAATATACATTTTAAAAAACTTTAGTGTTTTCTGATTTTGCCTTATTATGTTAAATGGATCACCTTTTGATAAAGTGTTCAAAAGAGTACATAATAAAGGTACCTAATATAAAATGTATTTATTCGAGTTTTTGTCTTAGTTTTAAGTTAATTGATTTTTTTTTGCAATTAGAAAAGTTCCATATAATTCATGTATTGTAACATGGGTAGTAATAGTAATGTGTAAAAAGTTTTAAAAAAAATTATAACAATACAAATAGTAAGAAATACTTATTTCAGAAAATAATTCGTTTTTAACGACTCGCGAGTTAAAAAATTATCTAAAAAAAAAATGTCCGAATAACGTTAAAACTTACTTAATAGTTTTTGAAACAATATAAATTAGTCACTTAATAAGTTAAACTGATCTCATCACCTTCGGGAATAAGATATACATATTTTCTGTAGGAGAAGTTAATAGAATATTATATTTGTGTGAGAGTATAATATTTATAAAAATATTTCTGAATTGAAGTCGTACTTACCTATAAGTACTCTATTGATATGTATATGTACAGCGTAATTATGTGTGAGTCTTGATGAATTTTGGATGCGTCAAAAATCTAAAAATGTTGGAAACTTCAGAAATGATACCACTCCACGCTGAATTTATAGGTTACAGGTAACTATATAGACTATAGGTACTTATACAGTTTTTATAATATACATTTTATTTATAAATATCAAATTTTTCACGAGTAGTTTATGCGTTATAACTTAGGTATAAGTATTTTATAAAGTATTATAGCTATTCAGCTATAATTGTTTGAAATTTGATTTTAATCGAAAAATACGCCGAATAATAATATTTTGCTTCAGAATATCAAATTAAAAAACGTATGTCGGTACGTAAAATATCATAAAATAAAATAAACCGTATATTAGCCGAAAAATAATACATAATCACTACCTACAGCAGAACTTTATATCGTCCGAGTATAATATAATCGTATGTAAGTACGCAGTACGCCGAAAGTAAAACAACATAAAATATTTCATAAGAAACGTATTTTATTCAAAAATTATCTTGGCTAAAATATTTTATCCGAAAGTTGGAATGATTTTTCGGATATAAAATACTTTTTAGCGCCATTATTTTCTAATAATTAATTTTCTGTTTTATTATTTTCGGAGGTAATATTTTGGAAAAAAAATATTTTTTATATCGAATTTTCCGAAGAAAATGTTGTAAATATATTTTCAGATAAATAATTTTTCCAAAAATGTTGTTTTGTAACTATACTTAAGATTAGGTAAAAGAAATATTTTCCAAAACGTTCATGTTTTCTGAAATAATAAACGATGAGTCTCTTACGTTAAATATACCACCACGTGCCATAATATTATAGTATTACAATTGAGTGTAATATAATACAATATGGTATAAAATGTATTGATAATAATAAATTGTATTCGATTTCATTCGAGTTTTTATCTATATAAATGAAACGTGAAATTTGAACTCATTTATTCACAATTATATATAATATACAATTAAAAATGTTCCATCAAATCTATTTATTATAAATTATAATAAATACATTTTTAAGTACCTACCTATAGTATATAATATTATATAAGGCACCTATATAGCACCCAGTGCAGTGTATGTGAAAGTCTCAATTTCACTGTTATTATATTTTTTTGATTTTTGACTCATGCGAATTTATCAAAGGGCATATAATATTACAGTGTATACTTATAAGAAAATAATATATATATAGTAACGGTAAAAACGATTACACAATTCTGAAATATTTTTATAGCTATCATTCTCGTACAATTAATACACATATATTATAACCTTCACCTATAGAATATATTATATTTTATAATATAATTTTATACCCGCGAGTTATTCATCAAACGAAAAGTCACTCATTATTTCAATAATAACTATCGTTTTTGTTAATTAAAATTTTTTCTAGATAATTTGTTGTAGTTAAAAATTAATAATTTTCATAGTAGGTACATCACGATACATGAAATTTTAATTTTGGACGAGTAGTAGAAGTATAGCAGTTATTATGACAACTAATAACCTAGGTAGGTATATATGACTGAAATTTGATTTTGATTAATCGAAATGCTCCAAACTATATTGTGTATTAGAACACGAAACTTACCCATTAAAAATCATCGTCATCCAAAAAAGTAAAAAGTTTAAAAAAATAGTTAAGTACAAAATTAGTAAAATAACAAATATAATTTTTTTCAAAAAATGTTATATTGTACCTAAGTGATAATAATGACTTAAAATCACGCACCTTTATAAAGAAATATTTTCAAAAATGTTAGCGTTTTCTGAAATAATAAGTGTCTTTCGTTAATTAATATAGATCGTCTCGTATAATAGGCATCACCTAACTAAAATTTTACCGTGATACAAAAGTATATATTATGATGTATAAATAAATAAATAAAATTATGTATTCAAATTTAATCGAGTATGGACAAATGAAAGTTAAAAACTTAAAGGATATTTTTTGTTGACTACAATATAATAATTCTAAAAATTCCATCAAATCGATGTACTTACCTATTATATAAGTATACTTATGTCCTATATAAATATATACTATGTAAAATAAATGAATAGTATAATATGTACCTACGATTCGTTAAAATAAAATTGTATTCTTAATCATTATATTTAATGTATAATTTATATAGGTACCTACACATTTTCAGTGTAATAATGCAACTATTTTGATCGACGAAAAATACGTAAAATTCAATACATATTATTTATATTATTATAAAACTATTATTATTATAGGTAGGTATAGCCGGTATAGGCACTTCACACAAAGTATATAGACGGAAATTCGTGCATTTGGTGAACAAACAAATTATAAAATTTATAATAGTAATGATATAGACAATATTATTTAAAAAAAAAAAAATGAAATTTGGAGGGTATTTAAAATTTACAATTCTTTTCGCGGGAAACGCCGCCGTGCAGCCTTAGTATTTCATTATGGGCAAAACCAAATTATCCGGGACAGCTAATATAACTAGTATTAGTAATATTATATAATATCCAAATATATACCTAATACTTTTATTAATAATGTACCCATAATCTATATATTATTATAACTATTCCACAAGACGTGTTCGTATTCGGCGCGTTTTGTAATCAGTACCTACCTAATACCTGCCTTGTAGTAATAAGTAATAATCGCATATTCTAACATAACTATCATCAAATCAAATAGCATAAATAAATATAGTTATTAGTTAATATATTTTATCGTAAAATATTATATTGCACATGATTAGTTGATATTTGAGCTCTTCGTTGAACGATATTCGCTGGCGGGCTGTTAAACAGTGGACATAGGCCACTGC